TTGTCGCCTTAATTGGGCCTCCAAAACCAATGTCGCGTGTCTCATCGACGCTGGCGCACAAGCGCGGACAGACACAGAAAAGGACTATTCTAACGACCCGCTGAAGGCTCTATGGCTTAGTCACAGAAAAAAAAATACTTGTGTGTAATTATTTATTGTTCACATATAAACTGCATAAGTACCACGAAAATTCGCGAGCGCTTACGTGAGTGCGTTCAATAACAGCCTCGCTGGCTCGAGAGTTCAATAATCAAAGATGTAGCTGCCGTTGCAGAGAGAAAGAAGTAAACTTGTTTTAAAAACAACGTTGATAAGTTTTAACAAATTTGTAGCCACTATTATGTTGCAAGTATAATGAAGACACCAATATTTAGACATTCTTCAAAAATTTTTTTCTTTGCTGTACGAGTTTCAAACAATGTTCGCTCACTCTTTGTTATGCGTATATTTCTAACACGAGATGTCTTATTCGTACCGGTATTATTTGTGCGTTACATCATTGTGTATTTTCGACAACGACTGGTGACGAAATGAGTCCTTCCCTGTTGAATATGTTCGATATATTTTTGCCTCACAAATTGTGCAGTTAAAAAGAAAACTGAGCTTTTTTTTTACGTGAGTATGCATGAAATATGAAATGATATAATTTATATATAATTTTTCGAATTAGTGACAATCTCTCGTGGAATTGCACGCTTGCGACAGTAACGTAGCGAAGGGGTGGCACATATAGCCCAAGTCCTTCCCCCTCTGAATTTTTTTTTTTTTGCCCGGCCCCCAACTCAGCTTGAAGAGCTGCCCCCCCCCCCCCCCCTCCACCACCACCACCACCACCACAAGAACTGCCTAAGCCTCTGCTTTGCGATAACTGCGATTAAGAAAGTAACAGTAGTTTTGTCTGCCGTGTAGCTGCCTGTAACTGTTGTCAGCCGCACTGTTCGTGCGACAGCGGTATTATTGGGCTTTAGTTGAAACAGAGGGTAGCGAGAAGCCAAGCCAACCAATGATTGATATGTGGGGTTTAACGTCCCAAAACCCCTATATGATTATGAGAGACGCCGTAGTGGAGGGCTCCGGAAATTTCGACCACCTGGGGTTCTTTAACGTGCACCCAAATCTGAGCACACGGGCCTACAACATTTCCGCCTCCATCGGAAATGCAGCCGCCGCAGCCGGGATATGAACCCGCGACCTGCGGGTCAGCAGCCGAGTACCTTAGCCACTAGACCACCGCGGCGGGGCCCAAGCCAGCCAAGGTAGCTTTATTTTTCTCACAAGAAAAAGTTCGACGTTTCGCGCCTCACTTGCATTCTTTTACAGGCTTTATTCCTTTGATGCGGTTACGCCTATTGTCCACGATGTGCAGAATTCCGCTTAGGCAGTGTCCAGCGGTATAGTGCAATTTAATTTGCCAGCTGTATTCTGGATGGGCCAGGATTCCACAAACGCCCCTTATATATTGGGCACTAAGTCTACGATTACAAACTTGGCCAATTCGATGCGGTGGCCGTTCACCACGCTGTGCTCAGCCATCGCATTCCTTTGTCATTTGAACTGGCAGACGTCGGTTCTAAGATGCCACACACTCTCAAAGACGTTGTTTGCTTCCTCCACGTACGAAGCGTGAATATCAGCACGTGTTATAGAGTAAACCAGTCCATGCGCTTTTCCTTTGTGCAGCCTGTCTTTTGAGCCGAGAAAGGCGCAGGGGCTAGTAATCCACCTGCTTTAATCCAATATTCTGAAAAGCATCTTCCGACAGTTTGTCATGGCGAATTCCGCAGCTTTCTTAACGCTTTGTGAGGCGATGGCCGAGAACTCGCCACAAGGAGTTGGGGCGTTAAAAAGTTTCTATCCACAATTTCTAAGAAAAAAAAATACGGGGGAATTCCACCCTCGCTTTTTTTTTTGTGCCAAACCTGCAGGTGGATAGCTGTCCGACGCTGTGTCAAAAGAATTCATCAGAGTGAGTTTTGGGGAAATAGAATCTACAAGATGAAAAAGTAATGAGTAACCTGATACGGCACATTACCGAAAATTTTAACATTAGTACGTTACCGGTGTAGTTCTAAAATTGTAACGAGCACGTTACTAAGTTACCAAGAAACCGGGAACGGTGTTACCGGGAGCGGCATTACTTGTAACGTGTTATCGTTAACACTAAAGAGCACATATATAGCCCAGCGAGCAAGCACAGTGAGATACGGCCTGCTACTGCGTTAGACTAGCGAGTAGGTGCAGCAAAAACTTGCCAGGGCACATTCCTCTTTATTTTTTAGTTGTGAGGAAGGCAGCACGGGTGATTAGGCACGCACCCAGGAAGCCTTCTTTTAAAGTGTTCCAAAAGGGGCAATTCAACGAGCGTGTCGATGTGCTCAGCGAGCGTTTACAACTATTCTTTACATTCACCACAATCCACTGCTTTTCTTCCTTTCGTTTCCCCTTCTCTTGTTGCACGGGGGTAGCGTACCGTGAAGCATGACATTCCTGCAGTGTGCTTTGAAAAGCCTTTGTGGTTCTTCTAGACTTTCACTGGAATGTGGAGGGGGTGGACGTCCTCGAAGCTAGAAAAGTGGTCTCGGAACGAAGTGTGGCAGCTTGGGCTAGTTGGTATGGCATGACGATAGTTATAGCGCGAGAACTCTGTGTCGTCGTTTTGTTCTCGCGCTATAACTATCGTTGGAACGAAGCTTGTTGTTGGAAAACATTGCTGCGGGAAAGTCAACTTACAAGTAAGTGTTCTCGAAGTGCTGCAATGGGGAAGCTCACTATTTGTAAAATGTGGATTAGAAGTGTGCATAAACTTGGGTAGCCCAAAAGCCCGAGCCCGGACCTGGCTCGGGCCTCATCGTTTTTTCACCTGCGGGACGTGTCAGAGGTGCAGCCCGAATCAAGCTCGAGATATACACGTGCCGTAACCGCATGCTTCCACCCCGTAGGGCCTTCTCTGCCACCACCCTATTTCTCGATTATTCTTTCCTTTAGCCACATTAAAAAACACGGGTAATGGGTGAAGTCACCCAAGATGAGCTTTATGATCCTCTATACACGGAATGGTCCCCTCTCCTCTGTCTGAGGTACTTAAGTTTTCGGAAAACAAACGGTCTAAATATTCCAAAGTTGTTGTGCTTCAGAGAAATATACTTGGCAATTCGAAAAAAAAAAAACACCTGCAAGGCGGCTTCCACACAAGGTTGTTTTCCAACCAAAAACTCTCGTGCACGAAATGTTTTCCTCCTCCAGCCTAAAATCACACGGTGGATGAGGCACCTGACGTTCGTAAACGGGGTGGAGGGAAGGCAAAAACGCAATGACTTGGAAGTTGGTTTTCCTGCTGCAAGTAATGTCACAGGAGGAGATACGCTTTCAACTTTACAGCTCCGACTGTACACTGTTCCGTCGGGCACGACCGCCTCTTTATTGACCTCTTCTGCTATGCCACTATCAGCGCCCCATGTGCACAATATTTGCCACTAGCTAATTGCTTATTGCTACGGTAAATTGGCTTCAAATGTTAGAGGATACTTCGCGCGTTTGGATCGATAATTTATCACCCATGCTGACAGCTTTGGGCAGCGTTGCATGTTTTTTCTTTACAGTGTAAGTTGAGGGGGCAGTAGAAAAATGTAATGGTATGTAAAAGCTCTTGGCAGTATATGTGGATATTTGCCACCATTGTAACTTTACAATGTATTCCTAAATGGCACTATAATAAAAAGAACTGCATGGTTGTTCCGAATAGGTACTGCGATTTGAAGCCGAAGTAGTATTTACACACCAGAAGGATAGGTTACGTCAAATTTGCTGGTACTCGATGTACACTTCACCCAACACTATCACGAGGCGTTAATGAAACGTAACTCCACCTACAAGTGACATGATTTTTAATGTCTATGGAAGCATTTGTTTGCTATTTAAACAGTTCAGATCACTTGGCCTTTAGGGGCCATTTGCGCAAAATCAGACCTTTCCTCTCTCCGAACAATATTTACGAGTATAACTTCAAATTTCGATGACACTAATGTTATAAGCACGCCTTGCAGAAGTTGAATGAAAGACTGACCTGTCATAATTCTGCAAACGGCGTGTTAACGGACCAGTTTAGCTTTTTTTTTAATCATCAGACGCACCCAGTCGTCTGGGGTGTCAGTGAGTCGCGTCTCGCATTTCTTCACCCGCAGCCAATTGTAGTTCAATCGCCTCTCATCAATCACGGAGATCCCAGACGTCCTTCATCACGCCGTGAGCACACCCTGTAGCAAGCTCCGCACCGCAAGGAGCCCCAACAGAGCTGCCAGACAGACGCCGTTCGTCTACGACTGGAGACGAAATAGCGGGCGAAATTACATATCTTCATGGCCGTTGGCCGGCCCACCTAGGAGCCCGTGACGCAAGGAACCCGGAGGCAAACGATTGGCCGACGAGGTGGCATGCTATAGCGGTCAAATCGACGCACGCGCCAACCGTTGATCCTATACCGACTAGCGTATGCAAGTCGTCGAAGATATTGCGAAAGGAGACACTGGTTCTTAGGGAAAGAACAAAGAGACAAAACAGAATGAGGGTTGAGAGGAAAGAAATGAAGGAAAGAAGACAACGCTGGAGGCAGCTGTTCACGGTCAACCGGCGCAGAACGAAACGGCACAAACGCACAGGCTTAAGCGTTTCGGACGCACCACATCGTCCCGAGGCGATTGTCGCGCCCTCCTCCCCCGTCGCGCACGGACGCATAGCGGTCCTCGCGCGCGTCGCGTGGCAAGCTCGTGCGGTGCGTTCCAGTTGGGCGGCGCTTTGCGTGACGTCACAATGACGGGGCGTAAGGAAAGGAGGTGTCGTGACGTCACAGGCTCCGCCCATTGCGTGTTCCACCGTTTCCCAAAACCCGGGGGGGCAGTAGTAAACGCTACGGCGGCACAGAACGTCGTGGCCGAGTCGAGTTCTTTGGACGTTCGTCTCCGCGTGCTCCGCTGTAAACTGTTTTCTCACGCGCGTGCTGGAATATGGCGAGTGTGCTGCCCAGTCCGCCGTCCAGCGATGACCACCTGACCTCGGCTGGGTTCTTCAGTCACGTGCCGGCTTGGACTACGACGACCATTTTGCCCGGACTTTCTAGAAGGTCAGTACTAAAGAAGGCGTTCAATTCAGAGCAGGTCGTCGTTGTAAGAACAGTGCAGCTGCACACTTTAGCTTAAAATTAGGTGCATAATTTACACTGGCAGAGCTGAGAACACGCGACAGGGCTTTAACCTTTATCTTACAGGCAGTGGCAGTTGACTTGCAAGTTTATCTCGTTTTTTTTTTTTTTTAATTTCACGCACTCAAGAACGCTGTAGTAATTTAGACGGGGCAGTTATTCTAGCAGAGGTAAAACGATCCGATGATGCAAATAAGTGCTTAACCTTTTTATTGAATAGATTTCGTTAGTTACTATTTTAGTGGTTAAATAGGCAAAGTTTGTTAATTATCCAGCTTAGCGCTTTTGCTGCACCTTAGTGCAAATGAAATACTAAGACGCTTGAAGAAGGCTGCACCTTTTGCACTGAAGATTTTAGCGGACGCTTACTACCTAAACAGGTACTCAATCGACCTTTCTTTATTGCCCATCATGTCGCACTGAGCCAAAAATTCTTACGTGCCGCATACGGCTCAGAACGATAGGTCAGTGGGTTGATTCATCGTGCGAAGCGCATATGTTTGTTTGTTTTAATACATGGTGCGCTCTATAGCTGAAAGACCCTATATTCAATTCATCGAAGGGTGTTTCGGAAGTCTACAAGTGTGACTTGCCTGTCAATATCGATTGCTTTCGGGAGAATGTTCTGCCAGTAGGTGTGTGTCCTGTTTTGGAAGTTCTAAAACAACTCTCGGTGTGCGCTTAATATTTCCCAGAAACTATGCACCGTCTTGCCCGCTACTATGTTTCGATCAACTGCACAATTTGAGAGGGTTGAGTTGTGGTTCGCTAGCCATGCTTCTCAGCTCTAAAGATCACTGGAAGCGGGGATTTTGTTGAGTGTGCGTGTGCAAATTCATTGGGCGAATTCAGAACCCACTCCAGGGTACCGTCTCCTTTCAAAAGTCTTCATCTCGCGAAGTATCAATAACTTCGATGGGCGGAGGTTTCTTCGGGACACGCTGATAAATTTTGAAGGTACGTGAAACAGTTTGTCAACCAAAGTTATCCACAATAAACCTGTCGATCCAACGTTCGCATATCAATTCAGCCAAGCTCATTGTGCAATAAACCAGTGCAACGTTCACATAAGCATGCAAAAACAACATGGGGATAAAATGACACCGCATCTATGTCTGTATAAGGAAAAATAACAAATATCTGTTGATAAAACTGCTTTTGATAGCAAATATCTTCTGAAATAACAAGTACCCTTTGGAAGAGATCAACTTAAGCCAGTCGTAATACTGAATGTGCAGTGATAGTAAGCACGTCGCCCTATCGAAAAGAGCTTTGGCAGACGAAAGAGATTTTCTGATGGCCCAGGCATCTTTTGCATGTTCCAAGTGACCATCTCAGTTTCTATTCTCGAGGTCGGATGATACGACCTGTGCTACACTATGCATGCGTTTTCTTCCCAAGTTAAGTGCTGACAATGAGTTGCCCTATGTACAATTTTTTCTCCAATGCAGCACATTCTCCGTTGAACGAGATTCACGAAATATGACTGTTGTTTCGTGCATTTGCCCGTCCTTGCTCGTGATCGCGTTTCAAATAATTCAGGCTTTAATACGCAATGACTTCTTGTTAGGCGTGCCATGAAATCGTTTACGACTGCAGGTGGCTTCATAACTGATATGAATGCAGGGAACATCACATTATTACAACTTATTTTAGTTCAACTGATAACCGCAGTGAAGAGTTTAATTGACGTATCTGGCACGCACGTGGTGTCGAGATTGTCCAAGAGAAAGGTAGTTTTTTTATAATAAGTTGTATGTTCTCTATAAAGGAAGACGGAACAAATAATAGTAGAACAAAATTTGTAACTACTAAAATATATATTCACTGAAAAAAAACCGTAGTTAGTGCTTGTGTCGAGCCCACACTTCGCCAAGCGGACTTGTTTTCACCAATGCTAGGACATAACTGATTTGAGTGTGTGGTTTGAGGAAGAAGACGCCTAAGTTTTGCAGAACTGATTTGTTTCTTTCTCTTGCGGAAGTTTCACTGGAATGTGTAGAGCTTGAGATCGTCGAAATTGTGTCTTGCTACGTTAAAATGCTGTGCCACTGTTTTAGCTAATTTCTTCGCCATTACCCGCGCTATGATCGTCTAATCTAACATTTGCAGGCCGTCCTCTTTCGTCATTGCACCTTTTTGATGACAATATGAACATTTGATCATGTAGGTAATGTTTGCACTCCTGTATGTAGCATACCGTATAAAACGCAGATACGCTACCACAAAAGAAATTGGCTCTGTTCTAGCCTTGAAAAAGAGAAGTGCTTTTGTAGAAACGTCACCCCTCCACACAACCCATGTTTGCGCTTTTTTTTTTTCGTCGTAAGCTTCCATTTTTCCCTCTCTTCCGCTGTTAAAGTCATTGTAAAAAGCTCGTCTAAGTATGTAAGCGAAGCTGAAGATAGCATTTAGCAATATTGTGCTTAGGTAGACCGGTTTACTTGTTGCATTCTAAAGCCGCAGCGTCATTTGCCCCTTTGTTTAACCATCGCTTTCCGCGACATGGTCAAAATAAGCACGTTTGCTTCGTAATCGCTGTTTGTGATTAATATTTGCGCTCACTACGATGGCATGTTTGTTTTCTATAATGTAACAGAATCTCCAGTTGCATTATGCCAGTGTGGCTTATTTAGTACACGTGATAGACGAGATAAAGTTAAAAAGTTCTTGCTTTGCTAAAGAAACACTTTCAAAATGGTCACTTCATTATCAATGGCTTCTTTACACAAACTGCAGAAGTGAGCCAATCACAATTGAGCAAATTTGATAAGGTCAGGCTTGATTGCGATCAGAAGAGTGCCGCGTCACAGCGGCATTATATTGCTGCGCCCTCGCTAAAATATACAAGTAGAGCAGCAGTGCCACCGGTCATTAAAAAAAAACAGCAACATCATCTGTATGTAGTTTTGCTATAGTTCACCCACACGGCAGTTCCCGTATTTCATAAGTGATGCCACTTGACAGATTTTGCATAAGAAATAGCGGACACAGACTTGTCCAAAGATACAAAAATGTGTTCAAAATCTTGGTTAAACCGGCGCTATTATGCGAAATCATAACAACACTTTTTTCTGCTTGCACAGCCATGAAGCCTTGGTCCATGTTCAGAGAAAGCACATTCGAACCAATAATTATTTTTGCAATGTCATTTGGAAAGGCAGCCGGACTGTATCTTAAGCTTGGCAACCATGCTGTGCATGCCTGAGTATAAAAAGACGCAAGCGTCCAATGAAGGCGGTTACTTTACCTCAACTAGAGCGTTGTCTGGCTCCACATACTGCCTTGATCGGGACATGGTGTCAGAAGTGGGTTACGAACCCACGTCCTCTTGCGACAAGTGCCCTGTATAACAACTAAAAGCGTTGTGGGATTTTTTTTTTGCCCGAAGAAAAATATTATAATGGGTATGGAGTGCGCGTACATCATTAGAAAATTAGCTTCATCAAGTAGCTCGATACTTCGTAAGGTCCTACAACACTTAGCGAAAGCTGTTCTGTTTGACTCTCGAAAACATTCCGATTGCTATGCAAATCAAGGCCACTTGCTTAAACATGTCCTAGTTAAACATTACGAGGTATTCGACATCACTTCGGGCTCCTGACTAGGGCATCTTGCCTGTCCACTGTGCTTGTTTGACACATTACAGCCAATCTTGAGCGTACTAGTATGTGTCTCTGACAAGGATGAAACTCCACAAAAAAAGTATAGGCAGCGTATCCAATCATCACAAAAGCAAATTTCATTCGCGCACATGGTATTATGTTCCGCATCATTCAGATAACACACGTAATGAGTATTTTACAGCGCAGTTGCGCATAGCGCCGAAAATATCTGGGTATGTTTTTTATTGACAAAAATACAGGACATTCAGAATATCACATTGCTTTCAAGACGCGTTAGGTGAGCTTGAATATTTTTTTCGTTTTCCTAAACTTTGTTTGGACAAAAGACTTGCCATAACCAAAATCAAGAGTAATCAAAGTGCTTACAAGTGCAGCAGTGAGACAAGCAAGGGCAGCCACTCTATTTTCGAGGTTTTGCCCCACCACACGTAGGTGTATGCATATATAAGCATACTTAAGCGTATCATTATAGCGCATCACGCAGAGCTAAGCCTACCTTTCCTTGGGATGAAACAGCGTCGTGTGAAGTATGTGTTTGTTACAACGTGCACGGCAGGAACTCGACGGCGCTGGCTTCTGTAAGCTGAAGTGGTAAACTTCACTAAGCAGAGATAGCTGGGTAGTGCGTGGAATACAGTGAAACATTGCACTGGTGACAAGGAGGGGATCGGAAGGGACAACATACAGCGATATTTCCGGCTCTTTTAATATTGTGTGTCTCTAAATTCCTATCCTGTCTGTGTGCTTGCTCGCCCGAGCAATGTTTCATGGTCAAATTGAATGATGAGTTATTTGTTCCCTATATAACTGAATTGAAGTTAAGCGCTTGTGTTGTGTGTTCTTTGTAATAGTGGCTGCGCTTCCTAGCAAAATAGCTATATAACTGATTATTTTTCCTTTCTTTATACTCTCTTTTGGTCGACAAGAGTGGCGATGTGGGCTTGTTGGTGAAACATTTGAAGGAAATTCATTTGAAAGAAAAAAAGCGCTTTCTCTTCTCAGTCTATTCTTTCCTGTGTTCGTTTTTTCGCCTCGCGCTACATAAATTTCTTTCAAATTTCTCTTTTGGTGTTGCGTGTCTCTGCATTCTTATCCTGTCTGTTTGCTTGTTCGCCAGAGCAGTGTTTGACTGTCAAATTGAATAATGAGTTGTTTGTTCTCTATATAACTGATGATGTTTTCTTTCTCAATACTCTCTGTATAGCAGCCGTGAGTTTGACTGCCGGCCATGCACACCGGAGACGCCCGACGACTCTTCAAGCCGGGACTCGGACTCCTCGCCGAACCACGTACTCAAGGACGGCGGCAGTGCGCTGCAGGACGGGTGCGCAACGGTGACGTCATCTTCGTCTTCGTCGCCGAAGTCGGCCTACAAACACGTGCCGCACCGCGAGAAACCTCCGCACCTGGTGGCCCGAAGGAACGCCAGGGAGCGGCGCCGAGTGCAGGCGGTGAACAACGCCTTCTGCAGGCTACGGAAATGCGTGCCGGTTGAGAACAGGGCTAAGAGACTGTCAAAGGTAAAAACCCGTGACATGTTTAGGCTTATTTTGCGAAGGTCTTACAATAGGTGCGGACTCGCATGGTGGGAGAAGAGGGCTAAGAGACTGTCAAAGGTAAAACCCGTGACATCTTTAGGCGTAGTTTTGTGCGAAGGTCATACTATAGGTGCGGACTCGCATGGTGGGAGAACAGGGCTAAGAGACTGTCAAAGGTAAAACCCGTGACATCTTTAGGCTTATTTTGCGAAGCCTGGTCATAGGTGCGGACTCACATGGTAGATTCTCGGGGATCGGCCCGCCGTACGCGAACTGTTGACGCCATGTACCTCTAGCCGATCGGTGCACCGTTCTCCATCAATGGTGTCCCATTAATTTAAAGACAATAGTCTGTACTTGAACGCAAAAAACTTTGCTCTGTCTGTCTGTCTTGCTGTTTGTTTGTCAAGCGAATCGGCTCGAGTACGCCCTTATCCGCAGCACCTACCAATATTGCTCTGGTTTCCGTGTTCATACTTGTGAACTCGTCGATTGAAGAACAATCATAGCGCATATCTGAGGCACAAAATTACAACATAAGTGTTCTTCCGTGTGTTTTTTTAAAGGCACACATAAGTAATTCTAAAGCAGCATTTATCACGACGCGCTCACAATGCGATGCTATATGCACTAAAAAGCGAGTTTCTTACGCTTTGCTAAGACGATGCGGTGCTGCCATCTACCTTAAAATCTACAAAACATTAGCTCTAAGATTGTGCGCGCACGCCGGGCACTCGCATCTTTTAGTTTTTTTGGATTACTGCCAGATGGCACTCGTGTCTCGCGCAACACCTCGAGAGTTTCATTCACCAATTTTTCGCGAAAAACATAAAAAAATAAATGTTTATTCACTCTCTAGGCAGAAAACTATCGTTTTTCGGTGACATTTGCAGTCAAACATGCAGATACGGGGCCAATTTTTTTTCTCAATCTTTACTTATCCCTATATTCCTTTTATTCCCTCCTTATCCTATTCCCTCGTGAGCTACTGCCGAGGTGTCGCACTTAGTTGCAGACAGTTGCGGGACTCACTCCCCCTTCCCTCCTTTTCATCTCTTACAAAATCACCCGCCGCCCCCTCCATGACAAGTGTCGTTGATGTTATAGACGTGACCGTAAACAAATCGGACCAGTATTTGCATGTTTCCCTGCATGTTTCACTGAAAGACAACAATCTTGAGTCTGGAGGTAGTGAATAAAACGTCTGTTTGATCTTCTGCGCGATAAATTCAGGGAATAGGATTTGGAAGCACTGCTTCCGAGCCATATATAGACCTTTTTTTACAGAGAGGAGGATTCCCTTCTTTCTGGGCTGTTGCACGAGAGTACGAAAGCCAACGTCACAGCCTTGGCAGTGCATTTCTTGGAGCGTCAAGCGCGCTAACAATAGGCCAGAGAAGACTGGCGACGCCCTGACGCCTTGAGTGAAAAGATCCATACCCTGCATGCACTGCGTGAGGAATGAGCGCCATCTGTCAGTGTTCTTGGAAAATGAACGGATGGCCTCCAATGTATCAAAACGCGCGGCGTGTGCGCGCGATCGCGGAGGCCATAATTTGTAGAAGGCAAGGCGACGCATAGGTGTCACCACCGTATCGTCTTAGGAAAGCGCTTGCAGGGTCTGATAGTAAAAAAAACGACTGGTTGCGCTGTACAATCGTTCTCTGGCCACTCCGTACATGTAGGCACTGGATCGCGCGTTAGGAATTCAGTCAATGACGTCTTTACTCGGCTTTCGCTTAATGAGCGCCAGCGCTAACGTCGCCACCAGTGTAAGCGTTAGCCCCCGCTGCTTCGCATTTACCCGTGGTTGCCTTTAGCGGGAGATGGTTTGAAGTTTTTTTTCCTTCTTTTCTCTGCATGTATAGCGATAGCTGCAATGAACTATCTCTGGGTGAACGTGGGCTATATATTTTGCGCGAAGCAGAACAGGTGCCTCAGACAGTTTGACGGACGTTTCGATAAGTGGACCCATTCATTTCAAAGGCGCCTTGTGAACAATAAGTGGCATACTTTGCATCACCCCTACCATCTGCGTACGTGACCGTGAATATAGGGAGAGGGCTTTTCACTGGGATGGGAGGGGGAGGGGTGGAGGTCTATCTTTTACTACAATGCTCTCCCTCCTGTACGAGTGGGGCTGTGAAAGCAATGATTGCATTGTCTCGCTGCTTTCGTTTAAGGAGTAGCACATTGATTCCAGTGTCTGTAGTGATAATACTCCTTCTGCTTGAACATGCACTGCTGCCGTTTAACACGTTACATGTAGTAGCTTTCACGCTACTGTTCAGAGGCAAAAATTTATAACGACAAATCAAAAACATGCACTTGGCTAACGTGCACCATGCTTTAGCGAAGTCTCACCGTACACCAAAAACTGATGATGATCTGGTCGGGAACTTTATCACGCAAACGTTGAAGTAGAAAGGAATGCGACCAGGTTGCAAGTTCATGAGTATTTATTTAAACTTCGTGCCATACTTTATAAAATTTTGCCCGATTCAATGGCCCAGTGTAAGTTCGACAATGCAGTAGATCCTGATACGTGATAGTATTCCCACATTGTGAGCGTCTCTTCTGAATATATCTGTGACACAAGAAGACGGAGGGTACGAATAATAGTATAATGACAACGTCTAGAATATAACATAAGGTTTCGGTGTTCTGAATGAAGCCACGTCCACAGCTGCGGTTTGTTGAGCATGCAAAGGACAATAATTTCGAAGCGTAATTTTCAGTGCAAAATAAATCATGTGCGTTATCTTTTTTCCCTGTGGTCTACACTGTCAAATTCCCCCTCTTTCTTGCCCCTACTTCCCCGCCCCCAGCGCTGGGTAGCAAACTAGATGCCAATGTCTGGTTAACCTCCCGGCCTTTCCTTTCTTACTCTCTCTCTCTCTCTTCTCAAGCTGAAGGTTACGGTATCTTTAACAGACATGCCTTTTTTTTTCTTTTTGCTACAGGTCAAAACCCTTCACAGAGCTATCGAATACATTCAGGCCCTTCAGCATCTTCTCACGGAAGCGGACAAAGCTGTTACGTCATCTACCACTACACCCGAAGTCTGCACTCCTAGCGCAACCTATCCAGAAACACCAGCGCCAGTTTGTGACAAGGAGAACGATGCTAGTCAACGCTGGATAACTCTGGAAAACGTAAGTCTACATAAGTTCCGTCTCATCTTCAACCGAAGAGACGGCAAACACACACAAGGACTCGGTAGAATAGAGGGATTACTCGATCAAGCTTTTGGCTCGGCAATTGAATAAATATAGTAATACTTTCCCGAGTGTTGAATTTCCCATGGGCCGGGAAGCAGCACATACGCAGGATAACCGCTGGCCATTAAGGGTAGCCGACTGTATTCCCAGAGAAGGCGAATGCACGAAGGGGAGACAGAAAGTTAGGTAGGCCGATGAGATCAAAAAGTTCGCAGGTATAACGTGGCAGTAGAAAGCACAAGACCGGGTTTATTGGTGGACAGTGGGAGACATCTGCCCTGCAGTGGGCGTAATGCGGATGATGGTAATGAGTGATAATTTCCGGAATTCGGAATTTCACAAACCAGAAGGACACCATAATTCTGAGACGTGACCTACTGCTGCGTTCCAAATAAATTCAAATATAGTAAGTACTTAGGCTAGTTGGTGTTGAATTGAACACATATTACTAGCGGAACTCGAACAGGCACAAGGAAACTTACACACAGGACAACTGCGGATAACTTCGACTCACCTGGGCGTCAACAGGCACTGATATAGCATACTACGCTCTCATTTAGCATTTCGCCTTCATCTCGATGTGAGTATTTGTAACTTGACGAAGCGAATCATAAAACACAATGTACATCGTGCGTACAATAACGTAATGGTGGTAAATCGGGCTTGCAAATATTTAAGCCTAATACCAAATACAGTTCCATGAGTATGCTGCAATCAAGAGTGAAATTTAAAGCTGGTAGTACGAACACGTAGTATGCTACGTGCGCCTAATTTTCTGGATTTAGTGAGCAGAAGTGTAATAAAACCTCCATGCGTGTAGTACTATCTTCTCATCTGTTTTGTTTTCCTATTTTCCTGCAGGCGCCCGTTTGCGGAACGGACAGTTATTCCAGTTACCTCAACTTCTACGAGGAATGTGGCATAACGTTTGCCAGTTGACTTCGCTGAAACACTCCGCGAAACCCGGTCTACATAAAACCCCACACACTTCGGAGCATCGTGCACCTTGCTGGCGAGCACCTCGTGTGACGTCAATCATCGACGAGGCCAACATGTGACGTCACACAATGACCATGGACACAAATAACTCAGTGGCTCCTGTGGATTCGTGCGACTTATAAAGATGACAGTGAAGCTGATCACGCATTGCTGTATCGTGAGGCCATTTCCCAAAGGTGTGGCATAGTGAACTGACGGGCTCCGTTATACCGTTAGTGCAGAGCAACTGTGACTGATGCTGTTCGTGACGCTCCATTTTTTGGAGCGTAGTCCCCAAATGATCGAGACATACCTCTGCAACCCGTGTACATAGTTTTGACTTGTTTACGTGCTCGCAATAGCCTAATTCATTTCCGAGATTCGGGGCACAAGTGATTCTCAAGATATGCGAAATGATACATTCCATAGGTTTGCGATAGCATGTCTCAGTTCCGAGAGCTTGGGTACAGGTGACTCCCAAGATATGTGACATCATTCCATGGACACTACCATTTTTTACCTGCTTAACGAGTGCCATCACCCGAGCTTAAGTACGAAAATCATTCAGCGCATGAATGTTCTTCATCATGCAAGGGAGCCTTCGTCCCGAACCACAAAGCATGAGAGGACGTCATACCGTCGAAAGTATCCGAGTGATTATCTTTTTGCAAGACTGTTGTATTTTCCTCGACCTTCTGGAGAATTTGAGCAGTATTACGACTGGTCACAAGTGTGTCTTACCTACTCATTTTCTCGCGCTCTTTTTCCGTGTTGCCAAACGTTTAGTACTCATTTTCATTTGTTTCGTTGCGTATGTGCCTAAGTCAAGTACGTCTAAGGGCACACAGTGGTGATCTGTTGAACCTCTATGCAAGACTGTGTTATACATAAGACATCAGGGATTTTGTCTCCAAGGAACACTTCTGGCCACCGCGTTATGGGCATTTGATGCGGCAAGACTGCTTAATTTTTTTTCTCATTAATTATGTGTTTTCTCGGGGCATTTGCTTGTGTGTATACTCAAGGACGTTCCTTTCAAAGTGGCATTGCAGAGTTTTCCTAGTCTTTTCTGTTTTTTTTTTCTCGTTGTTACTTGTATTCTCCTCTTGTTGTAAATACGAGCTCACTCTGTGGCAGAAGAGATTTGCAAATTCAATAAAAAATGAATTAAAAAAGATCTTTTCGAAAGTTTTCTTACTTCTTTCAATATTGAGTCTGGCCCTATACCTTATCCTCATAATAAATTCTTATTGTAGCACTATCTCTAACGAGTTGTATATAGCGCACCACTTAAGAAGCGGCACAAATCACCTTGATTTCAATTCCCGGCCCTTCCTTATTTGCTGCACCATAGTAAAAAGTGTGTTGATAATCACATTTTCCTCTAGTTTCTCAACACCAAAATTACGGCGGAATGTCTTCAGAGGCTGAAGGGCAGAGCTTGTAATAATAAAGATCATGGTGCACCGTAACATGCACACAACTAATGAGAGGAGGCTGATTTATAATACGTAAGAATAATTATTGGCAGGCTGTGAAGAAAAGTTGCAGCTATCACATGTGTTACCCTGTTAAGTAAAGGTTATCCTAGTCTGACAGAATGTTGCCCTTTCGCACAAAGGACCTGTGCCTCTCTATTTTACAATTAAGGACGTTCCATCTATCCATCAATGTAATGGTGAAGAACTTTCACTTAACAAAAGGACAAATAAAGTATCCGAGCTCGTTGGAAGTATTACGCATGCACAACTCAGAGATACATATTTAAAGGCTAAATATTTGCGCATACACTCTAAAAAAATGTCGAGTAAAAAGGGTGTCTTTTTTTCCCACAACAATAATAATCATCAGGCTTGCGTGCGCTTCCTTTCTTGAAAACTCGGCGCTGGCCACCTTCCTATCGAGAATGCAATGTAACCCTGATAATGGGCATGTCGATCGTGACCGGAATGTACCGGGCGCGGGGCGATAGCGCAAGGATGGAACGCAATAGAGATTACGGTTATTTTTGTGGGACAAAAAGACACCCTTTTTACTCGCTCTTTTTTCAGAGGGTAGGTGACGCCTAGTCTCTTCTTGTTTATGCTCCGGCTACAACGAAACGCGCGTGAACATGCACGACAACATCGCTAAATGAAATGCGAAAGTCTCGAACTGTCGTTGCTGGAGCCAATGATTAGGAAGCCTTGTGTTATTCAAGGCAGCATTTAAAAAAAAAGAAACACGACTATGGGCTACCTCGACAAATACGCCTTGTCGATGCGAGTGCTGAAAAGCTACACCACATGTTCAAGACTTTTCGATTTGATGAAGCCTCGATCTTCCAAGCTTCTGCCTTGCTTAAACATGGCTAAATGCAGCACTGTTGGTCAAGGCTATACCGCTGGGGGCCCCACAACTTGCATAACGTGAGCACATGAATACTTAAAGCACATGAGCACTTGAAGCACATGAGCACTTGCAGCACATGAATACGGTAGTCTTAAAGCGATCTATTGTTTGCCGGCTACCCTACTTTTAAACCGTGCTGTCTGCTGCATCCAGCAAAATAACAGTGCACTAATCGTAAAAAGGACCGCTTTATGCGCGCAAAATGCTGGTATATGAAAGAATTCTTTTATGTTGACCGATCAAGCGACGCGAGTTATAGTGTTCTTAGCTATTTCATACATGCATCATTATGAAAAAAAACGTTGCAGGCACCGCACATCGTTTTGCTGAATTCGAAGCATTCCCAAGCTCGCAAAGAGGTGACAAGCCTCAATGAGGAAACTTATGCACACCAATGCCCAAACCACCATTCATGTCAGCTCACCGAATTGCCACGTTTGCAGCTTCACTAAAGACATTTGCTACAATTCCACCGATTTGTTTTTGTTGTGAACTCTATGTTGAGCATTTGCTTTTGGACTGCGTGTTTCGGAGGTTAAAGTGTCCGTCTGTGCGTTTGCTCTCGCATATCTTCATTATGAATTACAAAAGATCACCAGAGATGTGCCTGTCATTTTTTAATAGAGGTAACTTTATGCTTTACTAATTTTCTACATATGTATTACATACAGTCAACTTGTGGGCTATCTGTATGAAAAGTTGGGGTGGCGATATATTTTTTTTTCCTGACGCAGGCTGTTTCAAAGTAAAGTCATTGGTTGTAACAACGTTACTTCGTATTTGAAGTGATTGGTTATCAGCAGCTAAAGTTATAGACTTTCCTTAGTTGGCACCCATAACCTTGATGCAAAGACCTCAAAAGTGGCCGCTAGCAACTTCTTGCCACTATTCATGCAAAAAGATGTTGAGCCCATTCTTTGATTCCCATACTCTTTCGTAAGCTATGCACACGCTAAATTAACTGCACCTAATATTACTGTTTGTTTGCTTATGAACCTCAAGTTACATTTAAATGATCGTTACAATATTTTACTTGAAATTCTGATATAGTATATAACAGCATATGGCTGTCCAGACCCCGACCCATAGTGTTTGGCGGGGAGAAAGTCTGAATAAATATCTAGTTATATTCATTTTCATCTGTACGCTTAAAGGAAAAGAAGAGATGGAATATAATGTGGTAAACATGAAGAAAACGTCATGCATGCGATAATGCTATTGTAACAATGTCCAGCGTCGTGCTACAGCCAGAGAATTAATTATGGCGGTAGTACACAACAAAAATATATACATAAAAGTGCTTAAAACACGTGGACTACGCTTTTGTTACGTTTTGATTCTGTCTGTAATAAAACCGAGAAACACGGCATGCTGTATTCTCGGTTTTGAAAGAGTGGGCAGTAGTGCTACAATTTTTTTTTCCCTTCGCGTTCTACATATCTCACTTCTTGCGCCCTCTCTCTCAATGATCGTCTTACACCACAATTTGAAATGCAACTTTGTATCTTTTCGTGATGTTATCACACTCCGAGTTCTGCAGCCATGCGCCACCAGTACGGCGTGGCCTGTGTGCCAACAAGGCCCCCTGAGGCGTCGTCAGTACACGCTGGTAAAATGCGAGAGGCGTGCTGGAGTGGAGTGTGCCGGGCACACGCGACGCGCCCCAAAGCCACCTGTCCCCGAGCCTACGTGGCGGCTCGCTTACTTCTTTTTCTTTTTTTTTTTTGCTTCTTCAGAAGCTTGCCGGCTTCTTGTTGTTGACCTGAACGTCCAGGTGGTAAGAGATGGCACGGGTACTCTGTCGCCGAATTTGTATGCAAGCGTCAACACGTCCACCCGAGTTACATTACACTACGCGGGACGTTTTGCACAGGTATGTTCCATTTAATTAGGTAAATTTTTGTTTACTTTGCAACGGGCTTGTCACTCATACGTGCCCCTGCACTAGTGCAATAACAAAATGATTGGATGGAGAAGTCGCTAGACAAAGGTACCGGCTTAAACCAAAATGTCACACATGCAATGCATACACATATATATGGCGTGACACACGTGGACCCACGTAATAACGAATCGTCCTACGCAAGTCAATAAGTAGAATGATCCATTTTCACCCATGTTAACATGTCGTGTTACAGATTCACTGTTCCTTTGTGCCCTTATACACTTGTTTTTTTTTTCATACGATCAGTAGATAACCGATGAATCGGGTTATGAATAAACTCGAAATTAGAGGCTTCAGTTTAACTTCCTCCACAACTCGGAAAGTCTTTTAGCACAATTTATCCTACTGTGAACGAAATTTCAGCACTACACCAACTGGACTGTGGATGCGACCGCACAAATCGAACAGGCTACCTCGTGCTCAGTGCAGCCGGGCTGCATTTACTGAGTTGTCGGTGTGTCTAATCAGATGCTTAACCAGCATCAACGGAAGCTAGGGTACAGTTTCAGTGAAATCTCGTCTATACTTGCTGAATCCCCTCAACTGTTCACATCAACGCGTAAGCCACAATCATCATATCTGTCACAAGCATTGATGGCACTACACCATCCCCACAAATGTAACAACGATCATGACCATCGCAAAGTTTGAAGTAGCCACCATAGCGGTTACGAGGATCATCACCTCATAGCCATGATCTGCGTCAACAGAATTCTACCATCGTCGCAATTATAATAGCCATCATCATCACCATAATCTACGCTGTATTCATCGTAACTATGATCCCCCTCACCAACACCATGATCTCCACCACATTCGAATCGCTATCCCTGTCATTCTCATTTGAAAAGCTCTACCGCCTTCAATATTTCAAAAATGTTAAAAAGGCAAAGACAAAGTATCATGAAACACTTTTATTTGTTCACGAGAAAAAAAACAAAAACAGAAAAGAAAGAACAGGATAAATACAAACATGTTTTTTACGCCACCGACCACTTTGAAACCCTCGTCATCTCTGCTTCTGGTCCTGAAGCGTCCGAAGACACCCCACGTAATATATCTCCACCTCGCTTTGTGATCGGTAGCAGGCCTTTTTTTCTCAAATTCGGGAGCCTCGTTCCGAAAAGAACAGCTCAGCTAAGACCACATATGCACTCTATTGTTTTTGGAGCTCGAAACAAAGAAGCGTGCCGCCGACAAAAGCGGTGGTAATCAGTTGGCAGGAAGCCCCGAGTCAAGGACGAATTTCGGTCTTCCAGTGAAGCATGACCCGATGATCACCGGTCGTGTCCGCATGAGCGACCAAGCAGGGGAACGCTTGCTTTGTGCCGACGCGCTGAGGTTCGAGCAAGGGGCGTGCTTAATTACGCGGTCACCGACTTTCATGGCTTACAGAGACACGGAGAACAAGCGCAGGGACGAAACGGTCGGCCACCTTAAAGGGACGCTGAAGAGATACAATCAGTTGTTTTAGATTGATAAACTGCACTCTGAGAATTCTGATGTCATAAATTTTCACTTTGGTAACTTAGTTATCAGCGGAGAAAACCAAGGTCGAAGTTTCAAATTTAAATTTCGCGCCATAATCTCCGCGCGTGACGTAATAAACTCCACAACGTATTTTTCGTATGTTAGCGACATTAGCTCGATAAAATCTGACATCGCATGCTAAGTCTATGGCACCCACAGATTATAACACATTTCAATTTTATTGGTTAGAAGTTACATAGGACCCAGAAGACGCTTTCGAAATTTCATGACGTCACAACGTTTGGTGCGGGGATCTCAGGAAGGTGTCTCTTCTTGGGGTGCAGTTTCTTTTCACGTGTTTTCCCGCTTGC